CATCTTTTTTAGTTCCTAGGAGCTGAAGTTCTACTTTAGCTCCTAGGAACTAAAGTTCAACTTTAACTCTTAGGAACTTAGTGTATTGCCTAGCAACATACCCATTTTTGTGTCAGTAATAGAAACGTCAATTCAAGAGCTTATTTTGGTATCAAAATGGACGACTTTTGTGTCGGTTGCAGAAAATAGTATATTATGTAACAAGTGTAATAAACGTCCTTTTAGTAACGAGTATTTCAAGCACGAGCGGAGCAGAGCAAAGCGAGTGTTTAATAAACGAGTGTCTAGAAGTTTATAAACGCGTTACATACTATGCTTTTTCTACGAACTCCGAAATTTACATCAACATACCTGCTATTCCTGCTAACCTACAAAATAATTCGAAAGGAATGGGAATTGAGAACATAATAGATGCAACTGATGCATGCAACCAGCGAGACACGTATAAGTGATATTGGTTGTAGATGTGTCCAGTCCATTACTTATACCAACCTTTGTTTCACGCTTATTGTCATGCTTAGCGCATAATTAAAAAAATGTTCTCAAAGATGGATGCTTCATTTTCATACTTCTTGGAGATATGCAAGTACCAGAACATTCTCTTCGATTTCACTTTCGTCTACATTTCGCATATATTTTCAATGGAGAATGTAGCAATTTTAATTAACACTATATTATGCAGTCTATGAAAATTGCTACTAGATATCACTTTTACATATTGATCAGTGACAAACTCCACCATTGGAATAAAACTTGTGCTTATAATTCCTTAGTCATTTGGAAAACAAACACAACTTATCAATAACAGGGAAATCCTCTATCACCGATCTATAGCAGATTGTCAATATCATTTAAAGAATGTTAATCATACCTTGTAAGTATCAACTGGAAAGGTCACTGCATAAAAGCTATCACATAACAATTCTACTCTGTATGAATTGTTGGAAGATTGTATTGTTATCATTCTATAATGTTTCGATTTCTCCTGTTGATATGAATTGGAAAAGGACACTGAGTTTCACATGATGTTTGCTATAAACTGATGTCGCCTGATCACACAGTATTCCAGCCACCTTTTTAATAATTTTCATGTAATTAGATCCATTGTTTTGATCATGATAATTATATTTTGACATTTCAAAATATTGAGGTTAGGACGACAAACAGCTGGTAGGACTTTAGCCACACTACCTACTTCGCTTCTCAAATGGTTGGTCGAATAAGATTCGTAACCAATCGGATATTAATGAGATCTGGTGTGGTAGAATTGAAAAGAATGAATGGATCAGTCGTTCCGTGAGTTCTGATTATTGATGATCTAAGGTGAGGAGTAATTCTATTGACCTTGACAGAATAGATGTAAATAAAGTCAAATTGACAAAAGTCCAAAAAATCCGGAAATTGGGAAATGACGAAATATGATGAAACTGAGAATGATACGCAAAATGATGTGCGCTTTGGTATAATTTTTACTGCGGAGATAGAGATTGACTGAAGAGAAAGAATGTGGTGATTTTTGTGCTCCAGCCGGCGAAGTGAATTTAACCATGAAGTCTACATTTTTCTGAAGTAATATAGTGGTATACAGTGCTGTTGTTCCTGATAGATATGGAAAACAGAGTATGACTTCATAACTTTTGTTCAAAGTTGTAAATCTTCGTTCGAGCCGGCACAGTCATTAGACGACACCATTTTGTATCGTCTCCCGTTCTGCTATAACACTAGGATGTTATATCTTTGAGAATCTTCACGGTAGTCAGTCTCTATTCTGGAAATAAGGGGGCCACATGGGGCCTAAACCTCTTATCTTATCTTATCTTACACTCCATCTTAACCTATGCTGCATTTGAGTAGCATCTTGATGCATTGTTTATGCTCTCATCTTTCATCATGCTCCTATCCTGGGAAAATTTATCATGCTGTTTTGCTGCTTGGAGAAATACCAAGAGCCTATACAACTATAGTTTCAATCACAGTCTTTGGGCACAGTAATGCTGAGTGGTCAGGACCTGCTGTTGGAGAAACTACATTCCAGCTAAGTTGGAAGATAACAGCTAAGTGGTATCTTGTATAAATAGTCTCTTCACCTTTCATTTATTATGTTGAAGTAATATTTGATATCTGGAATGTCCAGTGATTTCGGTTTTCGGTATAATATGATGATACAATCTTGTTGTGAGGAATCACAGCAGAAAGTCAACAGGTACATTATTTTCTGAGATCTCCTGTTAGATCCTATGAGACTGTTGTGTAAATACTCATTGTACATATTCATAATCCATGTAATAAGTAAGTTTTTCTACTCACATAACTAAAATGGGATTTATCGTACGGATATGTACCATGCTAAATGATCGATTAATCACGGATTGTCGATCTGTGATTTATTCAAAATATTAAACACATTACCATGGCAACACGATTTCTTAAACACATCACCATGGCGACGCAGTTCATTAAACACAGCTTCAGTAATTCGAGACATGTCTGGCCTGTCAATTGTATTAACTGTCAACTGTTATTTTCATATTTTGTATCAGAATTATTCAAACAATATTCGTTTGTATCGGAATTCTTCATCAAAAATATATGCGAAAAGTAGACGAGAGTGAAATCGAAGAGAATGTTCAGGTACTTACATACCTCCAAGAAGTGTTAAAATGAAGCATCCATCTTTGAGAACAATTTATTCATTCAGCGCTAAGCATGACAATGAACGTGAAACAAAGGTTAGTAAGCAATGGACTAGACAGATCTACAACCAATATCACATACGTGTCTCGCTGGTTGCATGCAGTTGTATGTATTATGTTCTCAATTCCCATTCCTTTCGAATTATTTTGTAGGTTAGCAGGAATAGCAGGTATGTTAATTAATGTAATTTTTGGAGTTCGTAGAAAAATCATAGTATGTAACGCGTTTATAAACTCTTCTAGACACTCGTTTATTAAACACTCGCTCCGCTCTGCTCCGCTCGTGCTTAAACTACTCGTTACTAAAAGGACGTTTATAACACTTGTTACATAATATACTAATTTACCATATATCTGATGTTCGACGAATGTCACAAATATCAAAAATTCTACAAGTGCTATTTTGATAGGATTTCTGGATGTTAGCTACCTGGTATTTGTGATAGGATATTCATTTGTGTCTAATTTCATCATAAATCTAAGTTAACAACTAATAATGATCATTTTATTGGTGGTTTGTTCCATAACCACAACAGTGCCACATGTAGAATTTCATGGCATACTGAATAAAATGTAATATTCAAGAATAATTGTTCCTTTTTAATTATAGATCTCTCTCACCATTCATAGCTATCATGCAATTCAATTTCAGGGTTTCTGGGTCTATCCCCAGCTATCTAAGCTGTTAAATGTGGCGCTCATGATTTTTATAATGTATAGTCTATCTCAGTTGTTGAAAACTTGGTGAAAACAACGAATCCATGCCTATTGCCTACTGACATAAGAGCTACCGTTCGCAGTATAGTATATTGTCAAAAATATGCT